TTTTTTTTTTTTTTTTTTTTTTTTTCAGTTGGAAAAAATTCTAGAAAATATGGTGAAAAAATTTATCACTTTTATTGACAATTTTCATGCAAAACAAAGCAAAATGATTGGTAGTCGGTCTGGTAATTTTTTTTCCAATTTTTTTTCTTTTTTGGCAATTGGAACAAATTCTAGACCCTATGGGAGGAAAAATTATCATTTTAATGGACAATTTTTATAAAAAAAAACAAAGCCAAACGGAACCAAACTTTCAACATTTTTCAAGTGGAAAATTATACCAATCAAATACAATTAATAACAATTTCTAGTAAAACAATTTCTAAACAATTCAATTCTCTATGAAACATTTTCTTTCCTCCAATTTTCCACATTTGCAATCAAATGGATGTTTATTCATTAGATATCAGTACTAAATAAATTGTATCCATGGATTAAATTGGAATGCTCTTAGAAGGGGTAAAGTGAGCCCGCCCTACTTTTTATTGACATGGAACGACCTACGCTTCTTTCTCAGAGACATGGAACGACCTACGCTTCTTTCTCAGATTGACCTACCAGTCGACATGTTTATCCAAGTAAGACACGACTAATTTATAAAGACGAATAGTCATCAAGGTGCTCAATTGAGTAGACATTGTGCCTAGCCTACCGTTCTCTCAATTAGTGATGCTACATGTTCACTCAAGTTTAACACCTGGGTGACAGAACGTAGAGATGGTCAACCAATCCCACCTCTGCATTTTGTCACCCCACTCCACTTAGACCTACGTGTACATCTATTACACATTTTCAATACATATTTTGAAAGCTCGGCTCTCTCCTTTTCGGTAATAAACATTCTAGAGAAATAAGAGAATCCCTCCTCCCTACACAGCACTCATTTCAGTACTTTATTGAATACCACGAAACTGAAAAAATATTCATCACTTCGAATATCTCCACTTCGCCTCGATCTTATAAAGCTGAATTTGAATCAAAGAACTCCGTGCAATTAATCCACTGTTTGCATCAGTCTATCTCTTCCTTTTCAAATCCCAAGCTCTTCATTTCCATCTTTCAAACCTCAAAATTAAAGCTAAATTTGAATCATTGATGGCTCATAAGCAGCAGTTGTTGCATGAGCTACTGAAAGAAGAACAAGAACCATTTCATTTGAACACCTACATTGCAGACAGATGCTCTCAACTCAGAAAATCCTCTTTACAGATCAAGAAACGAAAGCCCATAATTCCCTTAGATTTAAAGAGCAGTAGCATCTGCAAGAATGCATGCCTTTTCTCGTTCCAAAACTCGGCGGACTTCAGAAAGTCACCCCTTCAGAGCCCATGTAAATCGCCAAATCGTGCTGTTTTTCTCCACATTCCTGCTAGGACTGCTGCTCTGCTTGTCGAAGCGGCTATGAGGATTCAGACAAAGCAGTCAAAACGGAAAACCCAGATTAAAAATGTTGGGTTCGGGTTGTTTGGATCCATTTTTAAGATGCTGAAAGACCGTACCAAGAACAAAAGACGTATGCTTGGTGACTGTGATAATCAGGTCGAAATTTCAAGAAAAAAGGAGACAAAAAGTGACGAAGAAATGGGCATGGACATTAGAATTTCTTGTTCTTGTGATACTTGGTCATCGAGTAATGAGGAGAATATGGATTTGGAGACATCTACAAGCAGCTGTTCAGAATATGTTGCTAAAGAGAGAGCAAATATGAATGGCGATTTTGCCTCTTGTGAGAAGTGCTTTTGCTCAAGCCCTTTCAGATTTTCTCTACGGAAAAGCCAATCATCCTCCGGTCGTCGGACGCCGGATTTCTCTTCGCCTGAAGCTTCTCCGAGCCGCCAGAGAAAAGGGGTTTGTCTTTTCTTTTCCTTTCGTCTCTTAATTAGGCAGCGGCGAGTGGGTGTTTGTTTCATCACTGTACCTCTGATCACACATCTGCCACCAAAATATTTTTCCATTAGCCCCTATCCGTTAAATTACTGCAACAAAAGGACAAAACACAATTTGATTGTTTTTAGGGCAATTTTAATCTGGAATTTTGAACATGCACACATGAAAGAAAAGTCTGCAGTCTTGATATCTTCATTCATGGACTTGTATTGCAATGGAATAGTTATAATCTTGGTAAATGTCTATTAGTAAACAGTTTTTTTTTTTTACATATAATAGGAGGAAGCGAATTGTGGAACAAAAAGCTCAGCAGAAGTATTAATAGGAGAAGAAGAGGAAGAGGGAGAGAAAGATCATTTTAGTCCGGTATCTGTATTGGATCCTCCCTTCGAAGAGAACAACGGACAAGAAAGGGTGGATGTAGACGAGGACGGTTATGATCTTGAATGCAGCTATGCAAGTGTACAAAGTATGTAAGATTTCTCGTTGATAAAATATATATGATTTTACAAGAATACAGGATCATACATATTCCTCTTAGTTATAAGAAAGATTGTGAGGCATATTTTTTAAATCAAGTGTTGCTAGGAATCATTGCAGGATCAATAGTGATAAGCATTTTACATGTACATCAGTTGCTATTTCTGTGATACAGTTTTTTCCATAGAAAATCATATCATGACATGTTCATAACTTCTTGTATGACCCGCATTCTGGTGGTGGGGTTATTGCTCAATTGTCGCAGTTGTCTTCAAATAATGTATAGGGACAGCAATGGTGCAGAATTGTGTATTTGATTATGTGTTGTTGGATTTCTTTGATCTTTTCTGTCTGCTCACTAGTTCATTGAGGTCCAAAAGAATGAGAAGCTGTAGCTTTCTCATTTTTTTCGTGTATTCTGGGCTATTCGTTTAACTTAACAGCTAAAATTAGACCTTCTTAACCAATTAGCTTCATCAAGGACTTGTCTTAGTATCTTATCATTCTTTAACTTCGTTGTTGATGATGACTTCTAGTCGATTTCAGATTGACTGAATTCGTGTCACATTTTTGCTCTACTTGAAATGGCTTGAAGTCGGAATTATTAGGTGTCTGAGAGAGAAATTGATTTTGATTTTGTGTTTTTCACTTGTTCTGAACTTGCAGGAGCAAAACAGCAGCTGTTGCACAGGCTTCGCAGATTTGAAAAACTCGCAGAGTTAGATCCAATAGAACTCGAGAGAAAGTTGCTAGAAGGATCAGATGATGATGATGAACAAGTGGAAAGAGAGGAATGCAAAGACCATGATCCATTTGCAATGTACAGAGAGCATAGTGTCGACACATTTGCTTCCGAAGTCTTTAGCAGATCGAGGCTTCAGAAAATGAGGAATACTACTACTGATATGAAGAGGCTAGCCTTGGATCTAATTATCGAGCAAAACAGCGAAATGAATTGCTTGAACAATAGTGAAGTAGTATTTGACACCGTAGATATGATGATTGAATTGGCTTTCCAACGAGAATCAGACAGTTGGACGAAATTTCGAGAGCAGAAGGAAGAGACTGCAGCAAAAATTGAGGTTGGCATATTTGGGCTATTAGTGGAAGAGTTATCAGAGGAGCTACGTTACTGAATTGGACGTTGTGGAAGACTTGAATAACGTAAACAATTTTTTATTTTTATTTTTAATTTTTTTAAAAAAAAATTGTTTCGGGTTTGAACATCATAGTACGATTTGTATGATCAAGAACTCAAGGGATATGATAAATAGATAGTAGCATTTGGATTTGGTTCACATATATTGCTAGATATGCATGTTGACTGTTATATAAACCTATTCCTTTCTCAGATGACATTATAATGACTGCAGGCTGCAGCTCTAGCTCGACCGGATAGTTATGTAGGTGACGCAGGTCGAAAACGTAAATAATAATAATATGGTCTTTTTCGTAATACAAACGAATTTTATTCGAATTTCGCTCAAACGGAGAATCCACCAGAGAACGAAAAATTGAAACATTATAAATCAAAAAAGGATGTAGGGTTTTCAAACTCTTAACACGTATTTAAAGCATCAAAGTGAAACCTTAATTCGGTAAATAAATTCGAATAGAACTAGAAAACTGCAAAAACGACTAAAATACCCTTGAACTGACTCAAACAAATACAACCATTAAATGGGAAAAAAAAAAATCATATTTTGAAGAGTAATTTTTAGAAAAATTTGTGGTTAAAAAGTAGGTAAAATTTTTGGATTTACGTGCAGAATATTTTATTGTGCTGAAAATGAGTGTAGAAAAGAATTTAAAAATAATGGTTGTCAAACGGTGGTCAAAAAAGGCTAAAACAGACCCCTAAACAATTGAATTTGATCCTGAAAGTTTGATGATGTTGGTCGGAGAACTGAAAAACGCTTTCGGATTTTACTGGCTTTTTACCGAGAATTAAAGATGGCAGAATTTACCACAGTTAATTCATGTTTGCATAATGTTGACAGAGAGGTAAACTGCATCCTGAAAATTCATGTGAAATGCTCGTGTCAAGTTACTAAATTCAAGGTAGGTGACACTGTCTCCGCGCAGGACTCGCATCTGATACATTAACCGCTTGAGCTGAATTTGAGTTAGGATGAGGGTCGAGCTAGTAACTTAGGAAATGCTGACTCTTGTGCTTCA